TGCAGGTGGGGACCGGGTGCAGGTGGGGACCGGGTGCAGGTGGGGACCGGGTGCAGGTGGGGACCGGGTGTAGGTGGGGGCTGGGTGCAGGTGGGGACCAGGTGCAGGTGGGGGCCGGGTGCAGGCGGTCCACTGAAATCTGAGTGAGGCGGCTTACTGGAAACTGAAGGCCGTTAATCATGAAACCTATAATGAGAACAACAGGAACATCGCTGGGAGGGGCAAGAGCCCCAAGCAGGGAAAAATGGGGCAAAAGAAAGTGTGGAATGTGAGTCTTTGTGCGTGTTGCTTCAAGCTTCCCTCAGCCAAGCCCTCTGCATCCCTCTACACCAGTTAGGACCACCCACCCCTTCTTGTTAAATTTATGCTCTTAGGTTTATTACCTCCATATACCTTGGAAATTAAGTTAGTTTATATATTTTTTTTCTTTAGTTTAAATCATTAGTCTTTGCTAAGGAGGACTTGGTGTCTCTCCTCCCTAAAATGAATGAAATGAAAATAAACCTAAAAGTAGATGAGGGAAGAGGGGGTTGTATGGTATGGAAACTAGGGTGGGTATTTCTGGGAGACATTCTCATAGGTCTCTTGCATCTCTGCATTACTTGCAAGCAGAAGACTAACTGCCTCACTGTTTCAGGCTATTTTTAGATGGATTATTGTAGAGCAAACGGCCTTTGAAAAGAGGCCAAGGGAAGATTTACTTAATGTTCAGTATAGCCAGAATGTTTCTTTGTTCCGTATAGTCAAAATGTTTCTTTCTAGACAAAGCTCGATAGGTTTAGTTACGGCCCATTATAAGAGATTCAGGTTTATAAGCTCATGGTTCCTCTCTTATAACACCACCCACTGAATTTACAGGCATTACGTGGCTTTCTTTGTGTTGTCTTGTGAAAATTAGAGATTGGGGAACTGGCACAGATATGATCTCTGACTGCTGCTGTTGCTGTGAGTAATGAAGTCCCGTGTGTTGGACTCAGAACCCCATGTCCTCTGCCAGTGTTCCTGAACCGCTGGTAAGCTAATCTGATAACTTGCAAGTAGAGTAAGATCTCAGGCCCATCACAGTTCAATATTGACAACAGGTCACTTATCTTCATCTCCAAAGATTGCAAACTCTCTTTTTGGGGCGTTCAATTTCTCTACACACATACAGAGAGAGAGGGGGCATCAGAGAATCTGGGGAGAGGGAGAAGAAGAGGAGGGGGAGGAGGAGGAGAAAAAAGAAAAAAGAGATGAGAAAGGTACTTCTATGCACTTAGTTGCAGGCAGCAGTTTAAGAAATACATAAAGGTCACTTATTGGAAATGAATTTTATAGCAGCTTTACTCCTTGATCACTTTCCATTTTATCAACATTAGCAATGGCCAGGAAGACTTGTTCCAGTGTTATCTGTCTGATAGAATAGTCTTCTAAATTGAATAGCACTTTAGCTTCTTCCAAAATATTAAACACCTTTAACAGAAAAAATGGTGGTGTTATCATTGCAATATCCCCAGATGAACCTTTTCCTCACCCCTCACCCAATCATCCCCTCACTCCTGCTAGGTTTATACTTTAGGCAAAAAAATATAGAAGAGGGAAGTTAGAAAGTAGAAGGAAAAGATGGCTGGAAAACAGAGAGAAGAGGAGGCAGTTCTCCATCTTATTCTGATAAGTATGGGATAATAGCATTTAGGCCAGAAGTCTTAGTCCTACCACAGAGGACATTGAAAAGTAAGTTAGATTTTCCATCTCTAACAATGCCAGTCCCCATTCCGCAGGCCTGAATCCTCACACTCCCTGCCAGTCCTCGATTAGCACACAATGTCATATTGGTATGATTTCAATAGTCACCTTTCCCCAGCAGATTTCATTTCTGGGAATGTGGTAGTAAATAATTCCTCGATACTCCTGGTTTACAATGTTACCTAAGAAAGATTTGAAAGGTAAGTAACAGGGAGGGCTCCATATTTGATGTTTTACAACATTCCCCAATAATTCCCATTCCAATTGTCCACACCAATGGAAGAGATAGCACATGCAAGTAATACAAAAGATAACAATTCCAAAGCCCTTTCTTTTTAGCATATGTTAAGTATATATTAAGTGTTTCACTAGCTTTACATCCATGTGATGAAATATGGCTTTATTGCCTGTAGTTAGTAAAAATTGTAGAGTTGGGATAATCACTTTTAGGCACTGAAAAATTGAGCTCACATGCTCACTTTGCCAAACCTGATGTATATGAATCCTAATTTTGTGTGGAACCGTTTCTAGACATTGTCCTGAAACTATACTCATAAAATTGTGGCGTGGTTTCTTTTCCCAGTTGTGTGTGTGTGTGTGTGTGTGTGTGTGTGTTAGGATCTCTATGTGGAGAGCAGCTACAGTGTTTGGACAGGTTCAAGCCTTGGACTAATGAGAGGGCACAGTCCTCTCGTGGCAAAGCCACGTGCAAGTCCCAGCTTGGAGGGCAGAGCCCTCCCAGCCCAATGATAGCCAAAGGCTATAGTTGTAACCTTGACCTTGTGGTCCGAACCTGTGGTCCCACGTAACTTAGTGATGTGGGCTTGATAGAGTTCAGGCGCATGTAATTGAGTAGATTAGAACATTGTTTAACATCTTGACCATGCCCTTACTTTACCTCGTGGAATCTGGCTATAAAATAAAGACTTGGCTTGCGGGCGCTGTCGCTGTCTCTCCATCAAAGAAGCAGCGTCCCACTGAGAACCAGCTTTCATTCTCTTGTCTGTCTTTTCTAAATCCTTCATTGCCCCGCCCCCCCCCCATCCGCCCCCTCAGGTTCACTCTTGGCTATGCTGGCACGGAACATCTCTATACTATTCTCATGATGAGGCAACCTTCATTCTAAAGGAAAGATATAACTCATGTATATAAAACACAAATGTGAAGGCATTCACTGGAGCAAGGAGCTATTACAGCTTTTGAAAATATGGTAGTAATATTGTAGGTAGCCATTCCTTGTTGATAGTGTGACTTTATATTTATTACAACACAGTTGGCGATTATTGCAAGTGATATTAATTGAAGTTAAAATATTTAAAATAAATAAGCTATATGTCAATAATAGTATGTAGCATTTTTTTTGGAATGAGTCCCTACATAGCCTCTAGTAAAAATTTAAAAAATGTTTAAAATTGTGATATATATCAAACATATAAAGAGTGTATGGAACATAAATATACAGTGTAGTGAATTATAATAAAGTTATGTCATCAACACCTAGAATTCTAAAAGTCATCTATATGCCACTAGCAAGACTCACTTCCTCCACCTTAAAGAAACTATCTTGATTTTTATGGTAAGCATTTATTTGCTATTCTTTATAAATTTACTAGTGGCCCAATGCATGAATTCATGCACATTGAAAGGAAATTAATTAGAAGAAATATTTTAATATCACTATTCACCCTTTATAATAGAAGTGCCAACCAAATTCACGATCGACAATGACAGATGGAAACACAGGGGTGCAACTGGCACCAGCGAGAGCTTTATATGTATTGCGCATGCACGAGTCAACTTAGCCTTTTATAGATATAGAATAAACTAGCTTAATTAGGCCTGCTTTCTGATGTAGCTAAACTTTTTCCAGCCCAGTGAAGCACCTCAACTTCTCATTCAGGTAATTGTCAGCAACACAGCAGTAAATATCAACACGAAGCAGATTATTATTGTAGATCACACAGGAAGAACAAAGGGTGAAATATTTAACTGCAGCAGTGTTTGACTATATTCTGCGCAGTGAGAAAACCTGAAGTCATTTTTAAGGTCCACCATTTCTTACTTCTTTTCAGTTGGGTCAAGTTTCTAAGCTTTCTAAATCTCTGTTTTCTGGCTAATGAGACAAAAAATAGGATTCCACTGAGTCTCCTATCTACCTACTCCAGGACTTCTGTGAGGATCGAATGAGATGAGGCATGGGAAAATGCTTCACAGACATTTGGTTAAAGTGTAAAATGTTTCCATCTATGTTCCTGGGCTGAAGAAACTTCAAGGAAGCTAGTTGCTAGGGAGAGGAAGCTGGGTGTTGCTATGTGATGTCATTACCTGGAGTTCACAGCGACAGTTTCCAGACTGGAATGGGTTGTGGGCTGCATTTTGTGCCATGGGGTCTTGGCAGCATTGGCTGTGATTTGGTAGGGTGTTGCTCTGGGATGGTGACAGGGCCTGTGTCCCTCTTGGGGGAAGACAAGTGTTGGTTTGCCAGCCAGTGCCTGTCATGGCATCTCCTGGGTTGAGCGTCTGCCCCGTGGTGGTCAGTGCACATCATAGCGACCAGTCAGATGGTAGGAGGGACACTTAGCATATTAGCCTTATATATATAGACTAGAGGCGAGGCCCGGTTCATGGATTTGTGCACCAGTGGGATCCTTCGGCCTGGCTCAGCCCGGCCTATGCCCTCTTGCAGTCTGGGACCCCTCGGAGGATGTCCACCTGCTGGCTTAGGCCCGATCCCCCAGGGAGCGGGGGAAGTCCAGCCCTTGGGGGATGTCCACTTGCCAGCGAGGAGCAGGCCTAAGCTGCAGTCGGATATCCTTAGCGTTGCTGAGGAGGCAGGAGAGGCTTCCTCCACCACCGCTGTACTGGCAGCAGTCAGCCTGACTTGTGGCTGAGCAGAGCTCCCCCTGTGGGAGTGCACTGACCACCAGGGGACAGCTCCTGTATTGAGCACCTGCCCCCTGGTGGTCAGTGTGTGTCATAGTGACCAGTCATTCCCAGTCGTTCTGCTGTTAGGGTCAGTTTGCATATTACCCTTTTATTATATAGGA